TAGATAAGATGTACCCGATTACATCACGATCCTCGATTAGCTTGGCATCACGGAAGCTGCTTGATGCGTATAGCACCGCTGGACTCAGACAAATGAGTGGAATTGCAAATGAAAACAATCGTACGCTTGATCTATGCTTCGTCAGTGAGGAACTTTGCGAGCACAGCACAGTTATGCAAGCTCCATCACCGCTCGTTAAAATCTGCAGGCATCATCCTCCTGTACTGATGGAATTCAAGATAAGTCCACAGCAACGCTTCCAAGATACCTCTGAAAGCATCGCCTATGATTTCAGAAAGGCTGACTTCAACAGCATGAACGAGTTCCTCGCACATGTCGATTGGGACGAGGTGCTTCAAAATTGTGATGCCAACCTCGCTGCGTCGACCATATCTGGTATCCTGTGGTATGCCATCGATCAGTTCGTTCCCGTGAAGTCTAGACACGAACCGGCTAAGCCAGCCTGGTCAAATGCTGACCTCAAGCATCTTAGGACTGTGAAGCGGGCAGCTCTCAGACGACATAGCAAGTATCGCACGGACTCCACGAGAATGAGATATATGGCGGCGAGCACTGAATACAAGCAACTTAATAATCGTTTGTACAACGCATATCAGGACCATTTGCAAAGGCGCTTCAAGACAAATCCCAGAAGTTTTTGGCGTTACGTCCATGACCAACGGATGGAATCCGGACTGCCCTCTACGATGACCAACGGATTGTTCGAAGCTGATTCCACCACTCACATCGCCGACCTGTTCCGTTCTCAATTCAGCAATGTTTTCACTAATGAACACATCGACCCGCAGGATGTAGCCGTCGCCACCAGAAATGTTCCTCAACTTTCGGCCTCTGGGCTACCGTTCGTGATCACGAACGATATGGTTATATCAGCCGGAAAGGATTTAAAATCCTCCACGGGATGTGGTCCGGATGGGATTCCATCGCTTGTCCTCAAATGCTGCGCGGAAGCACTTGCAACACCACTAGCAAGAGTATTCAACCTATCCTTGGCTACTGGTGTATTCCCAAACTGCTGGAAGCAGTCGTATATTTTCCCAGTTTTCAAGAAAGGCTGCAAGCGGATGGTTTCGAACTATCGGGGCATAGCTGCGTTGAGCGCCACTTCTAAGCTGTTTGAGGCGATCGTTCTGCATAAGCTGGTTCAGAACTACGCACACTACATTTTGATTGATCAGCACGGATTTATGCCTAACCGTTCGACGACAACTAATTTGACTTGTTTCACTTCGTTCGTGATCCGCCAAATAGAAAATGGTCAACAAGTAGACGCTATTTACACAGACTTATCCGCGGCGTTTGATAAAATGAATCATCAAATCGCAGTTGCTAAATTCGACAAGCTGGGAATGAACAGTAACTTGCTTTCCTGGCTTCGATCCTACCTAACCGGTCGAAGTATGTCCGTCAAAATTGGAGACCACGTTTCGCCCTCCTTTCCGGTTTGGTCCGGTGTTCCCCAAGGAAGTCACTTGGGGCCGTTTCTATTCTTGCTGTATATGAACGATGTCAATTTCATCTTGAAATGCCTAAAACTCTCGTATGCCGATGACCTGAAGCTTTACTACACGATTAAGCAACCACAAGACGCGTTTTTTCTGCAACAACAACTGGAAGCCTTCGCTGAATGCTGTCATATTAATCGAATGTCGCTGAACGTGTCCAAATGTTCGATTATTTCATTTGGCCGCAAGCAATCACTCTTCCATTTTATTTATGCTTTGGGAGGCGTGAATCTACAACGTGATTCGACAGTCAAGGACCTGGGGATTCTGGTTGATACAAAATTAACTTTCAAGGATCACGTCGCGTACGTTGTGTCTAAAGCCTCATCGCAACTAGGATTTTTATTTCGCTTTGCAAAAAAGTTCAAGGACGTTTACTGCCTAAAAGCTTTATATTGCTCAATTGTGCGCCCTATCTTGGAGTATTCGTCTATCGTCTGGTCTCCTTATTACCAGAATGAAACTCAACGCATCGAAGCTGTTCAGCGAAAATTCGTCCGGTTCGCTCTACGTCATCTTAGGTGGAGAGATCCATTCAACCTGCCCAGTTATGAAAGCCGTTGTCTACTTATAAATCTGGAATTACTAGAAGCAAGACGCAACGTGGCAAAAGCGTGCTTTGTTGGGGATCTTCTGCAAGGCAACATTGACAGTCCTACGCTTCTTAGTTTCTTGGACATCAACACACGTCGTCGCAATCTTCGGTCGCACTCGTTTATCACCATCCCTCCGGCAAGAACTCATTATGGCTTTCACGAACCTTTGCGAAGCATGTCCCGTGTATTCAACCGGTGTTATTATGTGTACGATTTCAACGTGTCACGAGAAACAAACAAGCGTAGTTTTAAACAAGTTTTATGTTAATTTATGTTATTCGTTAGTTTTGTATTTAGTTGTAGAACAGGTGTCATTGGGGTAAACATTTTACCTGTTGACTGATAAACAATAAACAATAAGATTTAGCTTTAGCTCAACTTTTTAATTATTTAATACAAGATGTTCTTAAAAACGTTGCAAGAGATATTCCTGAATTAGAATTGATAGATGTAGATTGCTTAAAACTGCCGATAATTTTAGCATTTGCCGATTACATATTAATAATAGAAGTATAAATGAGTTAGAGAATATTGTTAAAGTACTAGAAGAAGAGCTATCCAAAGTAGGTCTTAAAATCAATAGGAAGAAAAGTCAAATTTTAGTTAGATACCCAAATGATACAGCAGTACAGCCAAACGAATTAATGCTTAATGGAACTGCTTTTAAAACTAGTGAATATATTAAGTATTTAGGAGTTTGTCTGACAGCAACCCTAAACAGGAATTTAACTAATAGGCATAGATCTATAAACGCTTTGAAAACTTCAAGATTAGTAGTAGATTTTTGTACAAGATTTCATCCGAGCTGGGAATTAGGAAAGCTTATATATAATACGGTTTTGGCGCCAGCGTTATTATACGGAACTAAGGTAGCGGTATTAACAAAGAAAAAAAAGGGAAAAATATTCTAAGGAACATTTTAATAGCTGTAAAAAACTAAGTAATATGAAATTTAATGCAAGAAAAATTTTAGCAGGAAAAACAATAAATAGACGAGTGAGGGTAGGCAGAATAAGTTATTTTGGACATATCAGAAGAAGAGAGATGAATCATCCACTGCAATTAGCGTATATATTCAAATTCAACAAGAAAAAAGAGGGTAGACCAAGCCTTACTTGGAGGAAATCATTAAGTCAGGACTTTGATAGATATGAAGAACTTGATATAGAATAATGGGAAGAACTTGCTAAGGACAAAGAAAAATTAAAAAAGAAAGTGAAAGAAATTTATAAGAATGAGGATAGCGAAATTTCGGATGGTGTATCGACAGAGGAAGAAGATCAAGGAAAAGGAAGTTATAAACACTGGAAGAAAAAAGGATAAGACAGAGAATGTGTAACAAGGATCATTGCAAAAAAGAAAAAACTAATTCTGGTTGTATTTCTTTTTCATTTGCATGCATCCCGGGTGACGAGCGAACATGATGAAGAAGATGGCTTTATCACAGAGCCTCGTCTCGGAACGAGTGGATTGTTGGTCTACGATTCAAAATTGGTTTCTGTAATGATAAGTATCACGATCTACATCGAAATGTAAGTATTATTGACAATAATCATAACAATCAACTCATATATACATTGAAATACATAAATAAAAGGGAAGGGACGGTCCAACAGGGCACCCGATTGAAGCGATTTGGACGGGGAGAGTGGGAATGCCAACTCCCTGTTGATAACATTTCGTGGATAAAGGGCGGGCTCTTCTCCCCACTCATTGGGGCATCTTCCTGTTTGGGGGCTTGTCTTTTTGACCAATTGGCTGATCAAGTTGCTGGAAGGAGATTCTTTATTGTTCCGTAGATGCGAATAGGCGACTTTGCCTATCGATCTACCCAATCCGTTTTTGGCCCTTCATACAGCGACATGTTGAGGACAATCAGAGGTTATTAAGCTTGATCAAGACAAACAAAGAAGAGAGCCCACTGCTGTCGGACTTAGTTTCCGTGCTACAATGGGTGGTAAACCACTATCATGCATCATAAATTGCCGTGAGCCTCCATTATTGAAAACTTAATATTTTTGAAAATTGTAGCTCAGAAACACTAAAACATGCCTCGCTGAATTTTTGATATGTTGTTTAAAAAAGCCCAAACTTTCAAGGAACATATATATCATACAATAGTGAATTTGGTCCCGAGACCATGAATACATGGGTTTCCAGGAACGTGTTTGATAATTGTCATTATGGTTTTAGGAACTTTTTACACCAATGAAAGATATTGTTTTAAAATTCTTATGCGTCTTAAAGTATAATATGCTTGTTTTATTTTCCAATTTGGTGCAGTTGCCAGAAATACCTCCTATGAAATTTAGAAATTAATTAAAGCCTTTACATCGTTGACGTAATAAAAATTATCCCTGCGGCACGCCGACGTATGAAAAAGTGTCAGCAGCGGGGGCGTGGCGCGGCGGCGGCGCACAGGTATTGTTTACACTTATGCTAGTTCAGTAGCTCCACCAGCTCAACCAACTAGCATGAATTTCAGTTGCTGCTGAAATCTCATGCTGGTAAATGCTGATGCCCTGTATGCACCCTGTATTCACCTGGTATTCCTGAGCGATATTCCACGCGCTGGGCGAGATTTTACGAAGGAGAGAAAAGTAGTAGTTGTCTTGCTCATACCAACGCAAATTTTGCTCCGCTCCGCTAATGCGCGTTCAGATCTGAATAAAACATTATGCTGACTGCTTAAGTACAGTTCTAGTACACTAACTTAGTACAGTTCTAGTACACTAGCTCTGGCAAAACCAACACTGATGTAAACACCACATAAAGTACGGCAGAGAGCAAAAGTGCAAAAGCCAACGACAAACGTAAGCTGTATATAGATTATACCGATTCCATTGAAACCAATTGATGGCAGCAGCAGATGACTTACCAACATATCCGACGAGTAAACCTAGCAGCGGCACCACCAAATAGCTTTTGTTGATCATTTTGCCGGTGAATGCACTTGCACGTTGCCTATATTCCGATGATGCAGGATCCTATCACGGAATTTCTTCGAAACTACCGCAGTCGTGTATAATTTTACAGCCTAATGGGATATGCCCTATTCACTCTTGCTCAATTGCCGACGAGCTAGCTCTCTTTCACTTTCCATACAACACACAACCTATCTAACTTTGCACCTTGGCCTATATACAAGTCCGGGAAAAGGAATGGGAAAGCTTCACTGGGATTTCGCTTCGGCACATAAACACATGCAATTTTAATCACGGTGCGAAGTCCGCTGCAAGATCCTTCCACTGATTTCTTGTAGCCTACAAACAAGTCAAAGGGAGTAAAATTCAGGAACTTTACACCGAGCTGAGATTATTCCTTGTGGTCGTGCAGCTATCACGGGGAAGTCATTCCTGCGGAAAGTTGCTTCCGGTGGACGAGCGTTGCTGGACGGCTTCCGTCTGATGATTTGTAGGAACGATTTGCGTTTTCCACTCGGCTGTTTTGTTCACTTCGTACATACTACTCTTCGACACCCTGAAATGAGTAGAGAAAATAAAAAAAATAAGTATCACTCATTAATGTATTTAACAGAGCAAGTGATAAAAATAGATCGTCAAGCAAATCCCAGTAGCTGGATGTCAGCAATGATGTTTGTGTGACGTTTTGCCATCAAACACTTATGAAACGAGATGGCGCAAATTTGGCATGAATTCAAAGAAGTGGCCAAATCTTTCCATGAAAACCGAATCACGATTCAATCGGATCACGCTTTAATCCCCGGAAATGAACAAATCGAAATGACATGGCGGCATCCAGCCGCGGGGCAAGCTATCTGAAATGTACGGAGAGATCATCAAAAACCAATCGATGACAGATTTTTTTTATTGGGTAAAGCGTGGAAAAAAGGAGCGAAACCGCCTGAACGAAAGAGATGTATGATATGGATTTCAACATTAAACAAACATTGGCTCAATAGGAATTTGATTTTAGAATTGATTTGTGTGGTTTTTTTCGACATTTGCGTCGTTCCAAGTGTCTGTAAGCTGTAAGAAGATATCGTACCTCTTTTGTTTTCCATATTATTTGTTTTTAGATGAATTATATTGCAAAGCAAAATAAATGATATCATTTGAACACCAATTTTATCCACCCGTTTGATTGAAGTAAAACAAAAATACAACATGCGATACGAATCATAATAAGCACACCCATTTTGTTATATACTCGAAGCATTGTTTGTTACATAAGTAAATTCTTCGGAACTGCCGTTGCCTTTCTCGTACACCGAGGTGTACCGAATGGCTAATATATCACTTTAAATCACACTTTCGATCGGTGGCTCGAAGGGTCAAGTATATCATATGTCAATCGACTCAGCTCAACAAGATTGGAAAATGTCTGTTGGTGTGTATGTTGTCTTACTCATCCGATTTCCTCGGCGATGGCTGAACCGATTTGAGTTGAGCAGTCTTCAGGACGTGTGTTTCTGACTTCCTTAGAACGCTATTAAATTTTATCTCGATTGGACGCTTGGTTCCGGAGTCCCTTTAAGAAAAACACATAACAAAATATGAAAAAAATATGTCTAAATGTATGATAGCTATGATCAACTCATACTATGGAATATGTTTGATAATATACCTTACATTACCAATCACGCTAAGGCCTTGTTGTCCTTTGCTGTCCGAAGAAGTCCATAATATCTTACTTACCAAGCTGGATATACTTGGCGTCTCGTCAACGGCTGTGGATTGGTTCAGATCTTACTTGATGAATCGCTATGTACGGGCTAAGATAGGCGCGACGGAATCGGATGTTTTCTCAAACAACTCGGGAGTTCCGCAAGGTAGTAACCTAGGACCGCTACTGTTTTCGATCTTTTTTAACGACGTCGCCTTTCTGATACCATCAGGATGCCGCGTTTTCTATGCAGACGATACCAAAATCTACAAAATTATTAAAAGCCTCTCGGACTGTTGGGATCTCCAGAATATGTTAGGAATTTTTGCTGACTGGTGCTCATTAAATTTGATGAGTCTAAGCATCGAAAAATGTAGCATTATTTCCTGTTACCAAAGAATCGAACCAATCATGTTTGACTATGTTCTCTACGGACGCTGTCTTGCTCATGTAGAGCACATAAAGGGTCTCGGCGTTACCTTGGACTGAGAAATTACCATCGTGTCAACTGGCAGCAGTATCAGCGCTGTGTGGACACAGCAATCAATTACGACGTCCTACCGGAGTCGTTCGAAGAAGTCGATCAGTGTTTGCAAGCCATCGAAGAGGCGATATCCCAGGGAGCAACACGTACCAGCATCCAGACAGGTGAGTCATACTCTGAACCTTGACAGCCCAACCAAAGATCTTATCAGGCTCCGTAACACCATTCGTAGGCAGTTCCAGCGTTCTGGGCTGCCCCACTTGAAGACCAATGTCAATAGGCTAACCAAAATTATCCAGGCCAGGATGGTGGAACTCAGAAATAACGATTTTACCAAAAAGATTCGCTCTCTCCCAGATTGTGCAAAACCATTTTGGAAGATGACCAAAATTTTGAAAAATAAGTCGAGACCGATCCCTCCGCTTTCCTCTGTTGACCACTTAGACCCATCCCTACTGATAACCCCAGTTGAAAAGGCCAATGCTCTTGGCCAACATTTTGTGATTTCACATAATCTTGGTCAAACCATGGTGAGCCCCCATGGCCCTGCCGTCCTGGAGGCAATGACTAGAGTCGCTGACACCCCCGTAGTAGTGCATGATCATAGTAGAATATCGGCTGATGAGGTGATAGCAGCTATTAGAAGTACTAAAAACATGAAGGCTACGGGTATGGATGGTGTAGTCAATCTCGAGTTGAAAAACTTGAGTATTGACTTCTTCAACCATCTTACTTTTATCTTCAACAAATGTTTGGAGCTTGGCTACTTCCCCGCATGCTGGAAGTTAGCCAAAGTGATTCCAATACACAAGCCTGGCAAAGATGCTACCAGTGCCAAAATCTATCGCCCCATCAGCCTCTTGTCCTCCATCTCGAAGCTATTCCAAAAATTGATACTCAGCCGTCTGCTGGTGTTTTCAAATGATAATAACATCTTTCTCAAAGAGCAATTTGGGTTTAGGAAAGGCCACTCTACCATCCACCAACTCGCACGGGCTCCTAACATCATCAAGCGGAACAAGTCCGTTTCCAATACATCTGCCATGGCTTTGTTGGACGTCGAGAAGGTGTTCGACAATGTCTGGCATGATGGTCTAGTGTACAAGCTGCATCGATACAACTTTCCAATCTAGCTCGTGAAGATCATCAAAAACTACTTGTCGGGCAGATCATTCCAGGTCTACTTGAACAATGTCCCCTCTGATACGTTCAACGCTGATGCAGGGGTCCTTTAGGGTAGCATGCTTGGGCCTATCCTATTCAACATTTTCACGTCAGACGTTTTAATTTGTATCAATGTAGCTAAAACACAAACCATTCTGTTTCCACACTCGTATTCACCTCGGCTTGTTCCGCCTGCTAACGTCAAGATCCATCTTGATAGCACTCCCATTGAATGGTCGAGTGGAGTAGTCTACCTTGGTCTCATCCTCGATAGAAAATTGCTATTCCGATCCCATGTGGACAAGACATCCACCAATTGTAACATCTTGATCAGGTCGCTCTGCCCTCTGATAAACAGGAAGTCCACCCTGTCCCTCAAAAACAAGCTTGCTGTCCACAAACAGATAATAATGCCGGCTATTGAGTATGGTATGCCAATCTGGGAGAGTTGTGCTAAGTGCCACCACTTAAAGCTTGAGAGGATCCAAAACAAGATCCTCAGAATGATCCTTAACAGTCCACCACGAACTCGTAATTCTGAGATTCACCACCTGGTCGGTCTTCAAACACTCGAGGAGCGAAAGACTTCCACGCTGGAAAGGTTCGGAGTTGCCTGTCTGCGATCAAACCACCAGATCATTCGTGATTTAGCAACCTAGTTTAAGTAGTTAGGTGCTCAATCAAGTAGGTTATCAAATTTTTAAATTCAAACCAAAACAATCCCACAAAGGGTATCCTGTAAATTAGCGCTAAACGCAATCATCACTTTAGAATAACCAATTAACTAGATCAAAGATGAAGAGCCAAAGGCTAACCAATTGAAATGTTAAATCAAATGTTGAAACATAAAAACCCAGAAAATAAACGTAAATTTTACTACTACTACCTTGGACTGAAGAGACATTCGTTGCTAGACCGTCTAATAGTATAGTTCGTTCGTTCGTTCGGTTCGCTATCGAGTTTTTTCTAGTTCGTTTTATTGCTACGTTCGCGTCGTGGAAGTACCGTCATCGACAGGCGCATTGGCAAGTCTAATTGCATTTGCCAATAAACAAAGCATGGTACGCAAGCGTACTACTGCTCCTGCATCGGAGGACCCCAGCAAGAAGGCTCAAACGGATCCCAGCGCTGCCTCGGATGACGCAGCAAATCGGCTGCTACAGAGCAACCAATTATCGGTGCTCGGAGTAGAAAATGGCGGTGGTGACGCCGCTGAAATTGCGAAAAAGGAGCGGATTCCCCCGCTGTTTACCCCGATGAAGGACGTCGCCCAGCTTAGGGATGAGCTGGCAAAACGCAAATTGTTCCCGCTATTCAAAATCTGTAGCATTGCAACAAAGATCATGTGCTCCAGCCTACAGCAGTACAAGTCGGTCGGTAACCTGCTGAAGAACAGCACAGTGGAGTTTTACACTCACGATTTGCCTTCGATGAAACCATTGAAGGTTGTTTTACGAGGTCTGCCGTCGTACGAAGCGGCTACCGTAAAAGATGAACTGGTGAGGCTCGGATTGAACCAGAGGCAGTCCACCCAATGAATCGACGGCCTATGCCCAATACCAACTATCGTGACCAAATGTTTCTGGTCCACCTGACTAAGGGCTCCACCACCCTTGCTGCGCTCAAGAGCAACATACAAGCCGCAACACTGTGATGTGACCCAATGCACAAGTTGCCTCTCCTTTGGCCATGGCACGAAGAACTGTCATAAGAAACCACGCTGCGACAAGTGTGCTATGGTTAACGGCGCCGGTGGTGTAGTGGTAAGCGTGATAACCTCTCACCCCAGCAGGCCTGGGTTCAATACCAGTCGGCGCCGCCGGGATGTTCTGAGGCATAACATCTCTGATCACGCCTTCCTTCGGATGGGAAGTAAAGCCGTTGGTCCCCGGCTCATGAGTTGATGGGTCGATAGGTAGTGTCCAGGTGTGGGAGCTGCCTTCCTGGCACGTCGGTAGCATTGGTGCTCAGCACGGAATTTGAAGCCCGAACTGAACGTATTCCTTCCCGACTTCCGGCTCGTCAGACTTGATCGCACCTGCTCTGGAGGTGGAGGAGTGGCCATCGCTGCAAGAAGGAACATCAGTTTCCGGCCGCTACCAAACTTCCAGCTGAAAACAATTGAAGCCATCGGAGTGGAGATGAGCACATCACTTGGCCCAATCACCATCATCGCGGCCTACTGCCCCAAGCAAACCATCATCAG